ATCTCAATTTAGTATTAGGTTGTCCGTAACCCCTCCACTCAATTGGGATTGGTCGATTTTCTTATGCTTACGTCTTACGGCTTTACGGGATTTTATGTGTGAAGGCCTTAACTCTCTTAAACGAGTTCGTACCAGAAGAATTCCGCGACGAGGAGTACAAGCTCTCCTTTCCATCGCGCCTCATCTGCCTGCCCGTGTCTCTCCTCTGATGCATCGTGCCCATGTCCCGCTCCTTCCATTTCTGCGCGCGCCACGGAGTCTCACTCATGTGATAACCTTTCCGAGGGGGACTGACCCCCCGGGTTCCGCGGCCCACCGTGATCTCGTCAGATCAACAGCGAATTCGCATTACCTACGTATGCGTACCGTCTCTCTGATGGAGTCACGCGCGCCCGAGTGACGGGGGTCATTTCGTCAATCGGAGTCATTAAATAATCCATCAGTGTTTCATCAACAAATAGCCGTTGCTGGCTAACGGTGCGTTTGAACCTCATCCCTCTCACGGGGCTTTATTCTAGGAAAGACTCGCGAATGGAAACGGCCTCTTCTCGAGAAGAGAGTAGCCCTGTCCTTATTTTCCCGACTGTCCTGTCAGTTAACTGCATCGACATCGTGCAACAACATTCGTTGCTCTTTTCCCCTCCATCAGACCGAGTGCTTTCCATGACAACGTACTTCCCATGAACAGCTGCGATGTCACGTACTCTGTGAATGATGTTTTGTTTTTCGACGTCGCTCGAAGAAGTGGCAGTAGACTGATGTTGTAAAATAATTAAGTTAATTATAAGTTTAATTGCGATATATCTTTTTAATTAAAAAAATTTTCGCAATTTTAATTAACTTCTTAATTTTAAGTAGAATATCTGCAAATGTCGATTTAGCACAGAATACCACTACTGACAGTCACGGTGTAGATCGCCAAGTTCGATCATATTTTTCATTTATCACGACAAAAATTCGCACTGTCTGGATTTCTCACAAGTTTTCGTATCCTCATGTTTCTTCGCGCGAATTTGCCGCGCACTTCGCCCGAGCTTCGCAAATTCCTCGTCACAGTTCAGCCTTCGTTTTCGACGTCTTTCTCTTTCTCGTTACGTAACGTCCGAGATGCGCTTCTTCGCCAGATGTGCGTCTCGGCGCGACGACGTCGCGACGCCACGGCCCGGCGTGTATCACATTCGAGGTTTCGAACAATTACGAGCAATCGGGTGCATCGAATCGGTGTTTCCGAACTGGTCCGCGCTTCCGGAAGCGCGTTCCGCGAGTTTGACAGCTTCCGCGGGCCGTGAAAAGCGTGCCGGCCGTTTAGAGTAGCCGGGCGAAACTAGTCGACGCGTGGCTACATCACTGCGGCAGTCTTTATCCCTACCGCGAGAGCTACCTCTTCTTCGTCCGCTTCTTCATCGCGCGTCACGAAACCACCGCCTAAGGTCTCTCTTTCTCTATCTCTCTCTCTCTCTCGCCCTCGCGACTATTTAAATCTTTTGTAGTCCCTCGTGGTCTCGCGACGCCAGGACTGTATCGTCGCGCCGGAGCGACGATACAACTAACGATGCATTTCTCAAAATAGGAAATTCTTGATTGACAAGGGAAGTAATTTAAATAAAAATATTTTGACAAAGTATTATTTTATAATCGCAAAATGTCTAAATGTCTGTCATCAATGTGAGCAATTTCATCGTTTTTATTGACACATTTGAGATGGAAGTGCAAGTAGAATAATTTTATATACCATCAAAGATTTAGGATCATTTTTTATTTATGAATTCGGCCGAAATAGAATATGTAGAAAAATTGATTGATAAAAGATACCAATTATTGAAAGAAAAAGAAATATTTTCACATCGATTTGGCAGAATATAATAATTTTATAATTTTTCAAAAATGTACGGAATATATAATATATAAATTCAAAATAGTTTTATTAAATTTCCAGATATAAAAGTTTCCATTTTATCAAACAATATTAGTTGATAGTCGGCACTGATCAGCATCATTGTATCTTTTGATGTTATTTTAGAAACGACGCCGTTGGACGATCTTATAAATTTCGCTATTTTCATTCGCCTTGACCGCGATATTATGTAAAAGCTACAGCTCTGACCGAGAAAGAGACCTCTTTCCGTGACAAGTCCATATATTATTTAAGTTTATGTGTTTGCACTCATTGTAAAGCTGCAGCACTATGCATGAACGTTGAATGTTTCGATGATATTACTGTTTAAATTTCATACAGATGTCAAACACAAGTTCTTTTAGCGATCACGTTCTCAAATGCATTTTTGGCTTCGTCCGCTTTCTCCGACAATTTATTTTTCGCGATTTAATATCATTCGTCATGAGAAGCGACACTGTCAGTTCTTATGTTTAACATCATCAGTTTTGAAGTCCCGACAGTGGCGCGATATTTTTGATATTGAAGAAATTCGGTGTCGGTGCGAACCGGGGCGATGATAAATTGTTCATTAGACTGGCGCCGTTTCTTCACGCGGCGATGTAATCTATCAAGAGGTTGAAAAAGGACTCAAAATAATCTCCGCGCTTGACGTAGGTGGCGTCTGGTTTTCCCATCGAGCGAGCATAAGACGGGAGCAGAAAAGAAGGAGTCCCAAGAACCGGTAGATTGATCCAACAACTCACTTTGAACCCTCTCGGCGTGCTGTCAGTTTTTCTAATCGTGAGGGATTTTCTTCGCACGCCACTTGAATGCACCATGATAATCCCGGTTGCATAATGCGTCGGAGGGAGCAAAAAAGCTGAGACGCTATCTTGATTCGACGAGAGTGTCAGGCATACACTTTTTTTGTTTGTATGTACTGGGTGGTCCTAAAGCGTTCCCGATTTTTACTTTGTTATTAATTATAAAAACGTAACTGTATGATATGATAAAATTCGTAGTTAGTTCACTTGGCTTTAAATAAATGATAACGAAATTTAGAAAAAAGGCTCTTAAACGTACTGAAAATAGTTTTGTATATATAATATAATATTATAAATAGATTTGCAATTATTAATTTTGTTTATTTTTGTTGTCATTTTAATTAAGAAATTATTAACGAGAATTATTAACTTAATGTTATTTTCACGAATAATTGCATTATTTGTGAAAGAGAAGCTAATATTTTAAAATTATTCTTATTACTATTTGATAGCTATTAGATATATCGAAAGTCATGCGTCACGTACACGAATATTACCGGCAATACGTTTATATAATTGGCGCGCTTATTTATTTATGGCTTGACTCAAATGTTTATTAATAGTTGAAACCGTTTAAAATTTTCGAGTTACTGATTGCTCCATCGATGGGAGACTAAAGTCGAGATCGGTTTGACGCGTTTCAACGGTATTACGTATGGGTAATAAGTAAGTATAGGCGTTTAGCTTTTCGGAGTCTGTACAGCGTCGACATCTGGATCCCGAGTTCCAAGAGAACAAACCGCCATCCCGGAATATTTGCCAAAACAAAGCTTTTCTTGGCTCCCCGGGTAAATAAATCTCGAGGAAATCACGCAGACGCGCGATTCATGCCGTCATTCAAACACTTTTTTTTGTGTTTAACGTCACACTCACGATGTCCGGCACATTCGTATAATTTTATTCCTGGATCACAATGAAGGCATAATATCTGGCAAAAGCTATACGATGACATATATACCCACCATTGTTAATCGAGCATCCTCGCAGAAATGCGATTAATCAAGCAGTCAATTCCAATAGTCTCTTGCGAGCTTTTCCGCATTAGAATCCTCAGTAACTCGATAATTGGTTGAGTGTTTCACTTTTAGACGATTAAGTTCTTTTCTCTTAACTCTTGTTGAAACTTCGGTATTTTCATAGCTTATTTATGATTAACTTAATAAACCACGTGGATTCGTCGTTGTTCACGTTCAATTACAGCGAATCACTGGTAAAGTTCCTCCCCTTTCTCTCGATTTGTCAGGACACTGTCTTTTTTTTTACCGTTCGTCAAAGTGAAGCGTTGTCGTGCGATGAAGGCAAACGCTTCTTTTGGAAATTGGAGCGCGAATGCGCGTCATCTCGGGCGCGCTCAGGCGCATTTAGCAACTGAGTCAAGTCTGCTGGATCGGGACCGCCGGTACTAGAGACTGTACTACTCGCTTACCCGACTGGACAAATTCAGCGTGTGCAGGCCAGGCCTCGAAAATAGTTCACAGCAAGTTCGTACGGCGACTTCAATCTGATGTGTGCACGTGTCTATTTGTAGATGACCGCGGCGCGATGCAATTTACCAGATCTGCCATAAAGCCGCGCAATAAAATTCCCCCGTGATTGTCACGTACGAAATATATATATTTGACCTTTTGTCTGGTATCACCCGTAATGACGAATTCATAATTAAAGTGATGGCAGTGAGATCCGTGAGATTAATGATATCCATTTAAAACGTTCCCCAATTTCAGCGAGCACAATTGTGCCAAATGAGTTTATTAAAATATCTGCCAGTGAAGTACAGAAGTACTCAAATAATTAATTCCGTAGTATATTTGTAAGCGGAAGGAAAGAGAGAGAGAGAGAGAGAGAGAGAGAGAGAGAGAGAGAGAGAGAGAGAGAGACAAGGCAGTAATTTGTGCGAAAGGGTGGCGAAATTAAATTCTGATGATATATTCCTTGTTAAATTCAGAATTAATTTTTGGAAATGTAATAAAGTATCTTGTGTAACATCAAAGTATTAGCGCCTTTTCTATCCGCGATATATTTCCTAACTTTAATATAATAACAAAAGTTTGAAACTCTCTCGCTCTTCCGCGACATATCAAAAATTCCTTTAGCACGATAGTTAAATTAATCCTTGATTGCTTTGGCGCAGTCATACCCTAGAGGATCAAATATTTAACATTATTAGTTGGTCTGGCCTGCCACTAACGCGTAATGGAAGTCCCTGCGAAATTAATTTGGCCCCCCGAGTGTGAATCGTCTATAACGGCGAATTAATAATTCAAACAGCGGCGTTCAGAGCAACTGCGTTAATAAAATTCGCTTAAAACATATTCCGGACGAGAGGGAAAAGAATGAAACGGTACAAGTAATAAATAAGCTGAATAAATAACAACATTATACTAACAAGATGCGAAAAAATTCAGATAATAGCCTCATTTATCTGACTTTATCTTTTATAGCGGAATTTCTAATTATACTAAAGTCCACGCATGTATTTCTTCGTTGAGATAAATAAGAGAAATGTTGGAAACGACATTTTTTTTTTCGTCTCTTTTGTTCATTGAAAAACATTCTCTATCCCGCTCGTCCGTCGCGAGCGTTCTCATTAAGTGAGCGCGATCAAGTCGAAGGAAAAGGAGAGTGATCGCGATATTATTGCGTTCTTTCGACACAATACATTTGTACAATCGTCGCGATTTCCTTCACCTTCGACTCATCGACAAATCCGCGCGAATCCTGCCCCTCGAGTCCCTCTTCCCTTTACCTTGCTCCACCTCGGCATTGATGTGAATGGTCCTCAGTCTGAGCTCTTCGTTCTCGTAAATCATCCCCCTCGAGGACTTCCGGTCGAGTTTTCTATTTGGCTTGACGCTGACGTCCCGCCGCCTGGTTCTCAGCATCCCGACACCGCCGACACCGCCCACCCCCGTCCCCGCCATCATCCTCTTCCTCTTGCGCCACTTGTCGTCTTCCTTCCCCGCGGAGAAGGTGTGGCGTGGTGTATCACAAAGAGCGGATCGCGACGAATGACCGATTGTCCGCGACGATTGGCCGCGCCATGCGCGCGACCACTCGAGAGAGGAGAGCAGAGCACACGACTCCCTTGTTCCCTCCCTTCTCGCTCTTGAGAAACTTTCCGCGAGATATACTCCCGTTCCTCCCGTAACTATTTGATCCTCCGTTTGATCTTCGGCGTTCGAACTCGAAGAAAGTTCCAGGCGCAAAGGTTTCGCGCTTGTCGGACTTGGCGAGCGCGGCTATGACTTAACCCACTCGACGTTCTTTCTATCGCGTAGGCAAATCCGACGATACGTTTCGAAGTGTTTATCTTGGTTCTTTATATGTTACACTATGAAATATCTCACTTTGTGCGTTCGCACTTTCCCCTCTGAATGCTTATTCCACGGTGGATCTTATCGTATTCAACGTATAATCACTTTTTGTCGTTTAATGAATTTTTGCATTAACATTTGTATAAAAATCCGCAAAATTAGATTATCTGAAAATGTCTTTTCACTACTTTTATTTAAATCGTAATAAAAATCGTATCATTATAAAAACAGATACTGAATTCTTCTTTCTACTTGATCTAATCTCTTCATTTAAAAAAATCACTTCTAAACATTCAGCAAGTATAT